ATTAGGGCACTTTGGTCTAGGCTCTCCCTAATTTCTCTAAGGACGAATAAGCTGGAAGAGAGCTTTCGCTTAAGAGATAACATATCATCTTTCCAGTCAAGTCTACTATCAAGTGTAATTAAGCCGACTGCCGTTCGCCTTTGTTGTATTTATCTAGCGAAAAGAATATTTTTTGAGCTTTGTCCGTATTCAATTGGAAATAATTGTTTTTAAACCAATTGTTCGCATTGCTCTCCAGTTCTCCAATAATGTTGTCCAGGTCATTCCAATTCGGACCATATAAGGTAAAACTGGCATCGTCCGCAAATAAAGCTCTTTTGACAGACCCCAAAAAACGGCATAAATCAGCAACATACACTATAAAAAATACAGGGCCGAGTGCGGACCCTTGGGGTACGCCACTGGAGACCTTCACCAAAAAGGATTTACGTCGCCCACAAACTGTTCCCAGTCTAGCAAATAAGATTCTGTTAGATTAAGAATTCCGTCGCGAAATCTATACCTAAACAGCTTCTGTTTAAAAGATCGTGTGAGATATAGAAAAATATTTTTTTATTATAATTCCATCCATAGTTAATGAGTCTCCATATGTCCTTGAGCCTATTATCGGAATTTAATATGTATTTTTTATAAAAGCTTATTTTTTAATTGTTTTTATCTGGTTTTTGTAATGCTTTTGTATGTTTTTATATCTGTGTATGTCCCCGTTTGTTTTTGAGACCAAACTTACAGTTTGAGCAGCCTGTACTCGATTTGTGAGTTGTTTTAGATTTTGTGTATACCAGTTAAGAGGCGATTTTTTTAAACAGTTTTTTAGAGGGTAGTTTAGTTCAATGAAGTCGTGGATGTTGTGTAACAAAAAATGTGACATAAAATTGACGTGTTCAGAACTATAAAAGTTGTACCAGTCAAGGGACAAAAGAGAGCTTATGGTTTTTTCATCAACAATAAACCAAATTCATTATCTTCGAAACAAGGTAAACTGTTGACAAGCTCCCAATTAACCGAGCATTCTCTCCTGTCGACTCGGCTAATTCCATTATTATACTGTTTTCTTTTTCACTTTTCATTTGCGGGGGCGCGTTGAAAAGGCCACAAAAGTTCCATTTGATCGATAAAAGTCGGTAGACCGACGGTTTACGCTTTGCTGGAAAGCTGACTCGTAAAACAAAGAGGCGTTGTTAAGGAAAGTTTAAATCTGTTGACTTTTCTTTTAAAAGATTATCGGCAGCGCCAGTAGTCGGTTATTTCGTCGACGTTTAAAATGTTACCGAGTTGGACTTTTTTCTCGTGTGAGGAGGGGTTCCCACTCGATCCACCCAGATTGTTGTTTAATTGTTCTTGCCACTGTGTTACCTTTGGCTTCCAAACAGCACGTTCGAGCTAAGTGCTGTCAAGAATGTTTAATCGTGGCACGATTTTCAGAAAACCGTCAATATTCCTTTTTTTCTAATTAATTGATATTTCTTCTACTCTCTGCCCTAAAATACCCAACTTTCACACACTGGTGGTTTTTTGACATTTTTCAGTTTAAAAATCACATGAACATATTAGTAGTAGAGTAAGTAACTTCTATGCCATCCGTCCTCCGAGGAAATATTGAGGTATCAAAAATTAAAGATGTTCAGCACTTTTTCTGGGATGTGCATCTTCAAGTATATGGAGAATATTCCAGAAACCTTAGTGCCAACTTAAAAAAACTGTTATATATTTATGCATATATTTTGTTTTAATAAAGGTTATTCTATTGGTATTTAATAACTTTGCTTGTCAAGAAAGTAGTGGAAGCATAGGAATTATTGAATATATTAAATTATTGGTAACAACCGGATTTTGTTTGGGTAATAGCATATATCCAGCGGTGGGTGTAAATAGCAAACTAACTAAGAAAAAACAAAACCAAAGCCAGACAAAACTAAGAAAATTTAATAATATTTTTCACATTTACAACGGGAAATTCTCCTTTTAATCTCTACTGCTGCGATTAAAATTTTGTTACTAATTTTTGTTGCGTAAATATGTGGCTTTACCAATCCTGTATCCTTCAGTAATTAGAACGCTGCTTTTTTATGTGGCGGAGGTAGACCATTCTGATGTTTCCTTTTACCACTTTCAAAGCGATGTGTGATACCCAAGACTCTAAGTCTATAATCAACGACCTTAATATTTTCAATATGTAGAATAATGTTTGAAGCGTGCTTTAATAGTGTTTAAATAAATGGTCGGGATGCTCCTTTTATTGAATTAATCATGTACCTATATTATTAAAAATAATAAAGTTGGTTATTTCAAACCACAAGGAACAGATGAAAGGGCGAATATAATAACATGCCGAAGGCATATGGGTCTTACACAGCTTCGTTCTCAGGAAAGGTGCTTTTAAAGCCAACTATGCGTAAAGAGCTAACATCAATGGTTTAACAGAGTTGGTAATAGTTAGAAAACAAGGAAACGAGAAATGGCAAGAAAATCAACGATTCACTTATTTATTAAATGAACTAGTTGATATAGTCCAATCTTTTTGATGCTTAGGTACAGTTAACAAATGTAGTTGACGTTATAATGGTATGTTATTCTGTGATCTACCGAAGGTATAAAGGTATAAAGCTTGAACCACCTATGTTCATTTAATACAGATAGAATCCAAAAATGGTTCAATTTTTTGAGACTATCCGAATATAATACTTTTAACATTGAAAATCGCCTCTTTAGATATAAATTAATTTCAATTTCTCATCATTGATAAGATCCAAATTTCTTTTTAGAGAAAGTAATATTCTTAACCTCAATTTTTATATCTTCGGCTAGACTTGGATCGATGGATTTGAAGAAGATGCTCATCGAAAATAAATATTCGTGCTGTAGTTGTGGCGGTTGTAGAACAAGTATAGCAAGCAACACATTTCTCAACTTCTGTAGGCAATCGTTTATTAAACACTCGCTCCTCCAGCCTAGGCAAACTTGTGACTAAAGCATCGTTTAATGAAATTGTTGCATCATTTTTCAAAGAAACTTCCACAGGCTACTGTAATAGTTTTTACAAAACTTCTGGATTCCTCCTGAGTCGGTTTTTGCTGACTCGAACTTGCTGACGTTTCGCCAATCATCCTGTTAGCTTCCTTGTCTGAAACTGACTCGCATTTTACTCTGTACATGCTCACATATTGTTTGAGGGGGGCGGAGCTAAATGAGGCGCATAAACACCGTCTCGGGTGATTGACTCCCATATTGGTGATAGATAAAGACCTGAGTCGCGGTTAAGATTGTGAGGTTGTTTGTAGACTTTCTTATTTTTCGTTGTTAGTTTAAGTTTTACCTAATAAAATTTGATATATTCTTTGCCGGATATGCATGGAATGCTGTAAACTCTTGGCATCTCAAATGGAATTTTGTCTTTGACGGACCGAAGATGTTGAGAGAATTTTGGACAAGTGGTAAATCTGGTTTTGAAGTTATATTTCTTTGGAACTTTTGATATATTTTGAATGTAATGAAGGACCACAGTGGCAAGATTGCTTTCGGCCTCATTGCTATCGGAAGATTCTGTTGAAGTATATTTCTTGATGGAACGCTTAATATCTTTAATTAGGAAGTTATTAGACAGAAGAGCAGAGGTAAGGTGTTTTGATTCTGGGTTCAGTGACTCAGGCTGAGATAGTTTTACGGCTCTGTAAACAATATATATGATAACCGATGATTTTTGGGCCGCATGGTGATGTGGCCATGCATTAAGGTATCAATCTGTGTGCGTAGGTTTTCTGTAAACAAAATGACCCAATGTTAGGTCTGATTTTCTATTGATAAGAATATCTAAGAATGGAAGGTTATTATTAGTTTCCAACTCAATGGTAAAACGTATGTTAGGGTGTATAGAGTTTAAATGTCTAAGAAAATCTACTATGGTTTCTCGAACATGAAGGCAAATAACAAAAGTATTATCGTTTCCATAATTTTGGTTTGAGATGAAAGGTGTCGAGAGCTTTCTTCTCAAAGCCTTCCATAAATATATTCGCGATGACTGATGATAGTGGACCCATAGCTGTTCCCGACGTTTGTTCAAAAATTTGACCGTTATAGGAAAAATATGTTCCAGACAAGCATTTTTCGATTAACGTGAGAATGTTTGGTTCCAGATTCTCGGATTTTAATATATCAGAAATGCTATTGAGAGTTTCAGGAATAAGAACTTTGGTAAAGAGGGAAACTAGCCAGAATAACTTGTGTTTCTAATCTAATGCTTTTAATGAAGTGAATGGAATTAATTACAAAACTATCAGTTTTCCCTGTAAGAGGTTTTGATAAGGAAGCTAGATATTTGGCTAGAGAATTGTTGGAGAAGCAATGGTGCTGACAATAGGTCGAAGGAGCAATCCTGGTTTGTGAATCTTTGTGAGTCCGTAGAGATGAGGAATTTTAGACAGATCTGATAGAGAAGAAGATTTAAGTTTGAAATCTATAGCTGACGTAGAATCTTTTTTAAGTTGACGATATGACCCATCTGTAAGAATATATTGAATTTTTTCATGATATTCATTTGTGTTCATGACCATCGTAGCATTTCGTTAATCTGCTTTTAGGATTACCATATCTGGATTACATTTTAGAGATTTTAGGGCAATACGTCCAGGCTTTGCAATATTAGATTTTGGAGGTTTTGATTTTTTAAGAATTTTCGCGGTTGCAAATCGAAGCTGTTGTCAGCAAGTTCGACTAAGCAAAAACCGACGCAGAAGGAATCCAGAAATGTCGTAAAAAAATATTTAAGTAAGGGTGTTCTAGAATTAGAATGGTATCGGGAGAAGAACAGTTTATATTTGCAATCATTGCCGTTGACTATTACCATTCGAGTTCAAAAGGTTTAAGTGCCGTGCCTCAGGATCGAGACGTTGTGAGTTAATTCTGGAAAGTCGATTCGAATCCCCTCCGACGAGCGTCCAACCCGAAAGCGATCGAATCACTCGATCCGCCGAGCGTAACGGAAAACGAAATGGAAAACTCACCCTGCAATTTTTCCTGCTGCTGCTGTTGTTGTTGTTGTTGCTGCTGCTGGATTTTCGCTGGCGATGCTCCTCCGGCGGCAAAAATTAAAGTCAAGCACAGAAACGTGCCGCCGTTCAATAGCGCACTCACGAGCATTGTTCCTCCGAGATTATTAGGGCTTTTTTGTCATCTGAAAACAATCACATCTTCGTAGCTGTCGATCGTCGACTGCGGACCGGTGGCTTCTTGTTGTTTTTGAAAGACCGACGCTGGGAAGATATCCTGCAAAATGAGACGATTGTTATCGATGCGTCGACGGGAAATTAACTAGAGGGTTGTGCACTCAAATATGAGGGACCGCCGCGTAAATTTCTTTAAGTTAGTAGTGTATTCTTTAAAATTCTGAGTGGATACATTTTGGACATATGATATGTGTGATAGTTACGAATGTTTTTGAGGTATCAGGTGCAGCAACTAGGTTTATAAAATCCCTGTCTATATGACGATAATCCAGGACATTCCCAAGGCACCACGAAAAAAAAAAGTTGAGAAAGGAAATGTTGAAGGTCAAGTTTCAGCTTCATTTTCTTAGGTCAGCCATTCCCATTTATAACTTTGGTGGCATTTTTTGACTAAATAGGAACGCCTATGTTGTCAAAAATAATTTCTAAAATGTAATGTCACCTCCAAATTGAGAACGACATTATCAACTCAATCAAGGATAGTTTTTTACTCTTTGGGCACTTGGGACTTGGGTCAAAAGATAAATTGCGAAAACTGATTTGGTCTTTGTCAGTGTACCAGGACTTTTTCACCAAAATTAGACGTTCTTGAACCCTGATTAAAATTTTTCTGGCTTACTGTATAATATCAACTGCATTAAACCGACTATCAAGGAGCCTGAACGGTGCTAAATAGTCTTTATCTGTTAGTATCACAGCATCAAGTCTCTTTATTTTTGGTGCATTTTATTGTTTTCGAGAAAATTTTTTTGACACTAGACCATCGGTCTTCAAAATCTACTAAAGAACTCACTAAATCAATGCAATTTTCAAAAAACCATCTTTAGTCCTCTTTTTCTAAATCAGAATTAATTTCAACTGTCTACTGGATAACACCCAAGTTTAAAACACTGGTGGTATTTTAACAGTTGTAAGTTTAGATGGTTCTGCATCCGTCAATCTATTAGTAGTAGTATTCTGCGTTCACTGACGTCGGAAGAAATTTTGAGATATACAAAATTACAGATTTAACTAACTAATGCCAAACTGTTGCCAACAAATACAAGTTCCTCATTTTAGAATTCATGTATTCGGCTTTACGGAGAATATACAAAGTAGAGGTTACAGATGAGTCTTGGGAAAACAGAGTACTTGGTAGTAAAGAGCGATATTCGATCTCAATGTTTAGTTAATGGTGATGTAGGTATCAACTAAGTGGAGAAATTTAATATCTAGGAGCACTTGCTGATAAAAACGGGGTAGGATATACATAAAAAAACACAGAATACAACAAAGTACGAAAATCCTGGGAAGCCTTAACTCATTTTGGTGGGATTAAAATATCTCAAATAAAAACAAAAGCGAGTAGGGAAAGCAATAGTGGAGTAAGCTTTGAGCTGCGGATCAGAAGTATGGACTTTAAATACAGATCTAAAAAGAAGGATCTTAGCTATAGAAATGTATTGTATCAGACGAAGCGCAAGAATATCACGATTAGAAAGAAAAATCAATGAGGAAGTAAGAACTGGAATGAAAGCAGAAGAAACGGTGCCGAATTGAATAGAAAGACAATCTTTGAAGTGCTTGGGAAATTTATTAAGAATGCCTGAACAGAGATGACCCAAAAGAACATTTCAGTAGAAGGGATGCCTTGGATAGAGAGGTTTGGCGAAGCATGACGGGAATGCGGTAAGATGCTGCTAACTATTTAGATAGATAAACATTTTCCACAACACGACAATATTTGAAAAACATTTTTACAGTTTTCAAGAGGCTGAATCTATATTACAGCATCAGGTTTTTTTCTTTTTGTTTCAAGAAGTGTCGTTCTAACGCACTCTTCAAAAGGTCAAAGAAATAGTGCCTTTCAATAAATAAGTCACTAAATCAATACACTCGGATGTTGGCACGCTCGGGAATGAATTTTTGACATCAAGAGAAATAGTATCTTAAACATGAAAATCCTTGAAAAACATTTTGGACAATTTCTGAAAGACCATACCCAGAACAGTGCGAATGATTCTATCTCTTTCTCTCACAGCATTAGATTTCTTTTTTTTACTGCATTTGTTTGCGTCACGGTAATATTTTTATATGATGGGGGTTGTTTTGAATATCCATTTGTGGCAATAACTTAATGCATAAATAAATAAAAAAATAATTTTTTTAAATGAAAATGGTGTTTTATTGGAACTGAATTTTTAATAATGTTTGTGTAAACATTTGCAGCGCACAGATTCAAATTTAATACGGCATATTTGTTTCGTATTTCTCCGCGAGCAAACCGTAAATTTAGCGAGAAATCGAATAATAATCCATTAACATCGGTTTGTTTTCTGAAAAATCAGCCGCAGCGTGTAAAGATCGATCGGGGCTTCTATTTTTCTTCGGGAATCGCCGATCCGAAACAATCGTTCCTCCACTGTTTGTTCATCTCTCCAAAACAACACGCGTATTAATCAAATTAAACCGGCCGGTGGGCGTAGATTTTATTTAACCTGCAGCGAAAACAATATCGCAAAAAGGTGGGCCCTTTCGAAGCGAAATTGCAAATTTCAAAAATTTTATTTGCTCCAAAAAAAACTGGCCGTTTTTAACAGCGCGTATTATTAGGCCGCTTCATTATGTCATTGTTCTTTTCGATTCGATTGTGCAGGTGCCGCTAGCCCTAATTGGTGCTTTCGACTTCGGAATCTGCTTAAACACGCGGAATCAGCCGAATGCAGAGACGGACTAAGGCTGAGGTGTAAGCAATGAAGAGTTATTAATAAATAAAGGTGCCGCTCGCCCTAATTGGTGGTTTCGACTTTGAAATCCGCTTAAGCAAACGGAATTAGTTGAGGTTGTGGTGTAAATAATAAAGAGTTATTTAAAAATAAAATGTTTACGAACTCGCTAATGTTTCGCCAATCACTCCGTTGGCTTTTTCAGTTTCACTTCAGCTCTAAAGAAGCCAATAAGATGAATGGCGAAGAGTTAGAAAATTGAAAACGACATCATTAACGCAATCAAAGATAGGTTTGTTGATTTGCAAGATCAAGTTTTTTACTCTTTGGACACTTGGGACAAAAGATGCATTAAGCCGACTATCCAGGAGACCATAGCCTGAATAGTGCTAAATAGTCTTCATCTGTCAGTCTCACAACATCAAGTCTCTTTATTTTTGGTGCATTTTATTGTTTTCAAGAGTTTTTTTTTGACACACTCAAAAGAACCATAGCATTGTTGACAACTTTTGCCAAAATAATGCCATAAATTCTAAATCCTCTCTTTGAGAAACGTCTTCGACGGCTTTTAAGGTACTGTAGCTGCAACAGTGCAAAAGGATCTGGTTCTTTCTGTACCACAGATAGTTTCCTTCTTTTTGCTTCAAGAAATTTTGTTTTAACGCAATTGTCAAAGGAAAAACTAGACCATCGGTCTCCAAAATAGTGTCATCAAATAAAGAACTGACTAAATCAATGCAATTTTCAAGAAACCATCAGCAATGGTGGTATTTTCACATTGGTCAGTTTAGATGGTTCTGTATGCTTCACATACGTGAATATATTAGTAGTAGAGGTACCGAAGTTCTGCTTCCTCTGAGATCCGAAGAAATTTGAGATGTACAAAATTACAGATTTCAGACTTTTTGTTCCAACACAGTTGTCAAAATTCCGATGCTATTGAGGCCTAAGTGTAAATAGTACAATGGACATAGAACTTTTTAGTAAAGTCGTAAAGGATAAAAAAAGGCAGAATATCGGTCACAGAGTCGGCAAAGATCAAAGTGGATTTACACCAGACCGATCCTTTACGACAACATATTTATTGTACATCAGCTGGTGCAAAAGGTCTTAGCAGTAGATGAGAAATTGCATTTGGCATTTGTGAATCTAGAAAAGGCCTATCATACTGTTTCGAGAGCAAAGCAAAAAATCGACGAGAAATCCAGAAGTTTTGTAAACTATCGATTCCATAAAATAAATCAATTCCTTCAAAGGAGTTGCGTTTACTTTGAAGTAAATTGTCTTGAGTTTTGATTATTTATAAAAACAAACGTTTACTGTCAAATTTGAGAATATGCCCCTAAAAAGGGACTTTAGGGTCACAGCAACCTCTCTGGTCCTCTGAAGTAGTTGGTACATCAAGCAAAGTTAAAGCTTATTAAGTTAAGTCCGTATATAAGCGATTTTAAACTAATTGTTCAATTATTGTGTTGTAAAAATATTAAATTTTTAGAAAAAATTACAAAATGTTGGGTTTAATCATCATTAATTCATATTATTTTAATAACTCGTGTGATACCCGTGTTAATGCAGATATATGCCCAGAATTTCTCAGATTGCACCTAAATTCTTCCGTAAGTTACAACATAATATTACACAAAAAGAATTAAAGACCCAAAACAAAAATAAAATAAAAATCTTCCTATACTGTGAAATATATCTTAGAGATATTTGTGTATTTTCACCAATAGAAATGTGATGAATGGACATTATGACCTGGGATAAAATACTATGTATTTTGAAATACGAATAAAGCTTTACTTTACTTAACTTTTACATTGAAAGCATAAAACTACTATACTTCACCTACATTCATTCTCAACTAAAATACTACTCGGTAGTATGGTCACCATACTATATTAATAAAAACAAAGATTTTTAATGTACGTAGAGAATATATAAGAACTCTTTGTGTCTAGAATATTTCATTAGAAACTAGAGTGACTTGTAGAACACAGAGAATGGATCCCAAATCATAGCATGCAACTTGAAGCGAAATGGTTGACCAAATTCGGTTCTTCAGCTATTGGATATTGTTATAACTAGTGTAGATTGCCACGATAAGTTTCAGTTTGTTCAGTTTCTATGTGCAGAAGAATTCTTCAGTGTGTTGTGTTATGACATATCTCATTAGTCCCTACACATACCCCCGGAATATCTGGTGGACTGCTTACATCAGCACTAGGCTGCTGAAACGGCACCTTCCATTCTGAAGTACAGATGCAATGTAGCTAAGCAATTAAAAGAAGAAAATTTTCAAGACGAGGACTAGGACGCATTCTCATGTTTGCTA